TACCTCCATCATAACATCGAAACTAGACTGTGAGAAACTATAAACAGAAAGAATGATTTTTCACTCAAAAGAGTTTTGGTTTACGATTGCTGAAAATAAATTCATATTTTGGGAGTCTCTTTTAAACTTGGTTATAATTGAAAGCTTTTCATTATTATTTTACTAAGTTGGTTTTTTTTTTTTTTGGATCAAGTTATACCACTACACTGTGCTTCTAGTTCCATAAGCTGATCACTCTTGTTTTCACAAAGCATGATGAATTTTTTAGATGTGTGTTGCCTTTTAGAAGCCAGAATTTCACTTATGATCAATAAGAGTCAATAGAAGGAACTACTGAGACAGTATATTGAAGTTCTTTGCTTTATCTAGGCAATTGAGCTAACCACTGTATTTTTTTCTCTGACATAAGCTCAAATAAAACAAAAAAAGGCACTGAGCCACAAATTACTGGAATTCTCTTTCTTCCAGGGAGTAAAAGAAGTCTAAATTCAGAGCTCCTTTATTAAAAAGTAGATGTTTGCCCATGGACAACTGACATTTGTGAGATAGAAGCAGGCAGTTTTTATGCATCAAAAGTCTTAAAAGATCAAACTGTTGAGGGAAATTCTGCTTCAACTCAGTAGGAATGGTTACTGTTTCTGGAAGTTTTATATTCTCTGTCTGTCACTGACTTGAAACTCAAAGCTTCAAAGAAACATGGTACGCAGCATTCAGAAAAAAAAAAATTTTCAGTTAGTCCCAAGTTTATTATAGTCACATTTAGCTAAAGTAATCAAATCCAAAATGAATTCTTTTGTATTCCATGAAATTATTTGCTATATATTATTTACTATATATTAAATTATTTTCTATTTATTATATGGACATCATAAAAGATTCCACAGCTTTCTGTATTTTGCAAGATTAGGAGTTTGTGCAAGTGTACTCACCTAAAATGTCTTCTAAAATCTGAATTGTGCAGTGTATTGGTTCTTATACTAGTTATAGAAGTCAGTGCATTTCAGGGAGGGAAATCCACTAAAGGAAAAAAACCCAAGAACTTAATCACCTTTGTTCCAGTCCCACACACAAGTTTTATATATAAGAATAATCTACAGAATCAGAGAACAATTCAGTTTGGAAGGGACCTCTGGAGGTCATCTAGACCAGCCTCCTGTTCAAAGCAGGGCCAACTTGAAAGTTCAATCACATGACTCAGGACTTTGTCCAGATGAACTTTGAATCCCTCTGAAGACAGAGATCCCATAACCTCATGGAACCACTAGTTACAGTGCCTTACTACCCTCATTAAAAAGACTTCTTTTTTCTCAGACTCAATTGGAATTTCCCTTATTGCAACATGTGACCGTCACCTCTAGGTCTTCCTCTGTGCATCTCTGCGGATCTCCATGCTGGCCTTCATCGCCGCCAGGGCACACTGCTGACTCAGGTGCAAATTACAGAATCACAGTATCATTTAGATTGGAAAGCACCTCTTGAGATCACGTCATCAAACCCTCCCTGCTTAAGCAAGGTTAGCTAGAGCAGGTTGTCCAGGAATATGTCTGGTCAGGTTTTGAATATTTCCAAGGATGGAGACTCCACAACCTCTCTGGGCAACCTGTGCCCACAGTCAGTCACCTTCACAGTAAGAAAGTGTTTCCTGATGTTCAGACGGCATTTAATCTGTTTTAATTTGTGTCCGTTGTTTCTTGCCCTGTCACTGGGCACTACTGATAAGAGTCTGGCTCTTTTGTCTTCGTTCCCTCCCATCAGGTATTTATACCTGATATTTATGTACTTATAACTATAAATTGCCCACTGGAACTCCCAGGTTCTTCCCTACAAAGCTGTTTTCTAGCCTGCCAAACCCCACTCTCTGCTACAATAGAGTTACTCCTGCCCAGGTGCAGGAGGTTGTATGTGCTTTTGTTGGACTTCCGTGAAGCTCCAGTTGACCTGCTCCTCCACTTTTCAACCCATATATACACGTAAAAGATTTGCAAGGGTCTGTAACATTAAGTCCATTTCTTGCAGGTCGCTTTCGCAATCTCATTATTTGAAGAACTTTGCTCAGTTAAGTCAGATCAAAAGGACTTCATGTAAAATGCAGTAAAAGTGATTTTACAAGCTTTTATGATTTATAAACAGGCAGTAGATTTAGAAGCCAGTTCAAACAGTCCACACTGTTATATATAGCGTATAGTTTTTCTGTCCATAAACACCAATCTCCCATTCTCAGGTTGTTGCTATTCTTGGCAGATGTTACTGCGTGTTGTTGAGCTTTTGTTCCTATAGAGTGGCCTTAGCTGATAAACTCTCTGTTATGTAAAATTAATTATCATGTAAGTCAGCAGAGACTGCCCCAGGATAGCTCTTCTGTTCAGTGGCATATCAGTAACGATCACTGATACATACATTTTCAGGTGTTCCTAAAACATGACAGGATTGTCTTTGCTAGCATTGTAGCAAAGTGAAATCCAACTTACCAGATAAAACAAGAAAAGGAGGAATCTTTCCCTGGGAAAAACGTGAAATAAAATAAAGTCTCACCTTCAAAACGTACAAACTTGTTTATATGGAATTCCAGCCAGAATTTTTTCTTTGCAATTGTGGTGAGATTTTTTAAATTATTTCTGCCATTTTGCTCTAAAATACTGAAAAAAACAATGTTCTATAACATTAAAGCATCATGTAAGTATGCAGCTTGTGTTCGACCGTAAGAGTGGGAAAGATGGGTTAGTGCAAATTCTCATGTACTACAATGTTTTAGAAGAGCTTGTGGGAAACTGAGGCAGAAGAAAAACACCTTTGAGCATTGAGGAGCATACAGAACTCCAGGTACTCCATATAATAATTTATACCATGTGATATTCAGCTAAAAAAATTAGATTTTCCTATTATTTAGGGTAAAACCCATGGAATTAAGTCAACCCATTTCCCTAATGGCAGTTTCAGAGACATATTTCAAGATGCCTGCCCTTCTCTTTGAAGTAAAAAAGTTCTGCAGATCCAATTTGAACTAATTGCATTCAGATATTCAGTATTAATAAGAGAGGAGTTTGGTGTAAACTATGTTTACAAATGAGAATATGAAAAACCACCATGCCAAATACATGCTTAACAATTATAACATTTTGCTTCAAAATGTGCTAACAAATACTATACTGTAAGAATATTATCTAAGTTTTAGTATTAAGATAACTATACTTGTGCTACTAAACTTTTATTACAAAACACAAAGTTTGCCAGGTGTAATCTTAATATGGATTAATGAATTGCATTAGTATGCTATCTTTTGTTGGGTTTAGAAGGTCTCTCTAAGACCTTTAAAACACAGTAATTACTAAACAATCATGAGCTAAATTTACACTAGTTAATTAGTATAGCAATGAGTTATGAAATACTTGATTTCATACAAAGATATCACAACAAAATACTGCAATGGCTTCTGTCTTCTTAATGGCTTAAACTAGAAAAGTTTTAGAAGAGTTTTGAAATCTTTTGAAAAGTTTTTTTTTTTTTTGGTAAGGGATTCTTTCTTATTTGTAGAAAGGCAGATGCAGGTTTAAGACTCCCTTATGCTGTTCATCGTGTCAAATTTGATAGCGTGACTTCCAAATACTGCTATTTCCTCATGCTCTGTTTTGCATGAAGCTCATCTGGCTCAATGCAGACATTTACAACATGGATCACTACAGCCGAACTAGCTGAAGAAACTCCTTTTCATTTGAGTCACCAGTGAAAATACAGGCCCCTTGAAGATGTGATTCTTCTGTTCCAGTTTAGACATTGACTTTAGGATGAGATGAGTCACAACCTAGAAATGCTTAGGTTTTTCTTCACTGACTATTAGGAGACTCTAAGATGACTACCTTAGGGGTAGATAGATACATTTTAGTCATAAAGTTACGTGAGATTATTCCCACTCCTTTTGTCTACAGTCTTATTTAGACTGTAAATTCTTCAGGCACTGCCAACCACCATGGCTCCTCATCACTACTACAGTAAAAATAAGAATCGTTTCCAAAATCAAATTACTAACCTTGTATAAGAAATATCCAAAACTTGCTCTAAAAACTGGCCAACTCCCCCTACTTTTAACTTTGAATTAAAGGAAAAGATTTTGGCAAATAAGTTATTGTTACCATCTGGTCACATTTCATGAATTTTAGACCATCTGGTTTTGGCTAAAGCTCCCAGATCTTAGATTCCTGTGCTGAGATCATGGAAGCTTCAGAATTTTATCCCAAATCTTTCCAGCTAAATTACCTTTTTGGAGCATCAGCAGGCTTCGCGACTGACAGATGGGTGGCAGTCTCTGTGGTAGACGGAAGCCTTTCTGCATTCAGTCCATAAGGAAAAAGAAGCACAAGAACATCTGTGGTTCCTCTTGGTTTCTCTCGTTTAAGAGATGTGCTACCATGTATTTGAGAACCACAAGTGACCTGTGTGTCCATCTCATGAGCTACAGCAATAGATTGCTCTGGAGGTGACTCAGAATATAATGCATAGCCATCGCATCCTCACAGAGAAAAATAATATTTGGAAACAGAGGTAAGCACACCTCACTACTGCAGTCAAATAACAAGGAGCATCTACAAATAGCTATGACTATTTAGCAACGGCTCTGTAGTTTGGAAAGTCTTGACAGGCTTAATGTATAACACCAATGCATAGTTCTTCAGCCATGAACATACAAAGACCAAGCAGAGAAGACTTTCATTCTGATATGCCTGTTTCTTCCTCCTGTCCCCATCTTGCCTTTTGTACTAAATGAAATTACTGGTACAAAGATGGAGGTAGCACCAGCAAATGCCACTTTATACAGGACTTAACTAACCTTATTCAGTTACTTTAAGCTACTTAAATCAGCTCTCTTACCGTAGCAGAAAGGAGACTCTGGTCATGTCATTTACCTCCCCTGACCCCGTGAAAGACCCAGTTCGCATTTGACTCCTAGAGAATAATTTATAACGATGCATTTTCTTTCCAAACGTATATAATGAGTTAGTTTTTACCTGAGTCTTCCATCCTCTGCTGCAGCTCCTCCTGGTATAATCTTAGTAATGAATATCCCAGGATCATCCCCAATGTGAGGGTTATCTGTTCCTCCAGCAATACTGAACCCCAGGCCAGAATTCCCCTGAAAAAATAAAAAAAGTAAATGCTAGATAAGAAATAAAAAATGTAAATGCAGATGCTAGATTTCTACAGAATTTATTTGTATTGCAAAGTATCCTTGCTTCTTAAAGGAAGCACTTTATTTGGCAACACCATACATGAAGGTGGGTGACTCAGTCAGAAAAAACTAATTGTCAGTTAAAGAACAGAGGCTGCAAACACAAAGATTTCCCAGAGTTAATGGCAGAGTTAATGGATGCTCCTACAGAAACAGGATTTGACCTAAATTTAATTGTTTTCAAAAGCAGTCACATAAATTAGCATCTGAACTCCAATATGAATTTATCCAAGTCAGTGAGAGCTAGAGGCTAAAAACACTTCAGAGCTTTGAAAAAACACTTTAAAAACCACAGCCATTTATAAACAGAAACAGTGAATAACATTTAGCTCTGAAGTATTTTAGTACACCATTTTCTGTTGAAAAGCGATCATTGCTCAGATTCACATGCTTTAAAAAAACCAAATCCACAAAACAAGATTATTTCTTTCATCTTACTGATTTGCTAGAATGAAATATTTGAAAGACACATTATGAGGGTCTACTCAAATAATCATACTGTTGCTTTTACTACTTGTGAGAATATCATGAAAGATAAATAGGCATGTACACACACACAAACACTTGCAAATTAAGTCACTGTTTTTTACATACAATTCAAACCCATAATTCTAACCCTTTTTCGGAAGTATATATTTGTTATTACACTTTTCTGTATAAATTAACATTATTTTTTGCAAGGGATTCTTTCTTATTTGTAGAAAGGTAGATGCGGGTTTAAGACTCCTCTATCTATAGGGAGGTCTTAAAATTCAATGCAATACTCGATCCTTTAAGTGTCTCTCATCCCAAAGTATTTTATAATTAGATATTTAGGTTTATCACAGTGATACAACACTATTGATATTGCAGAATATGTACACTACTGCAAATGAAATATGTTCAGGGCACTAAAAATACTTTTCTCTTATTTCATCAACTTCTCAGATTATTGGGAGTGTGTTTCCTTCACTGCTTCTTGTGGACAGGTGTCCAGTTCAGTCCCAATGAGAAGACTTACTAATAAAAATGGCACCTCTAATTTTTTTTTTTTTTTAATTTAAATCTCATTTCTGTGTTTTTGAACTGTACTGCAATTAGTAGGTCAGGCATGCAATGCATTTTGTGTGCGAAAGCCTGCATGTTGCCTGCCTGCAGCATGTCAAATTCTCAATTCTGTTATCAGTATTCTACATTCACAAGCGATCGAGTTCTCATTACTCAAGAGATGTACAGGCAATCTGCAGCTCTGCTATCAGCATATAATTGTGAATAAATTTTCAGTACTGAACTAATTTATAATCCAAGGAGAAGGATTTAGGACTACACATATCTTAATGCTTCTCAGCTAGCTGCAATGTGAAAAACGTTATAATACTGAAACACTCTGTATACATTTTCTGTAGAGTTAATAAACATCTCCAGGCCAGCATTATAAATCTTTGATTTAATCTCCCTTTCATCATTAGGATCATCTCAGATTCAGGTTATTTTCCCAATATTTTAACAGATGCCTACTTATACAGTGCACACTACACCAACATGCACTCCAAAAATACTTCAAGACTATTTACCTGTAAGTTTTTCTATATATCATATTATTAACCAAGCTAATCTTCCAACACATAAAAATGAAAAAATGTATACTTATACACACTTCAGGAAGCCTGAAACAAAAGCATTAAAGCACTACTAAAACCAAGGACAAATTTCTAGAAAGCTTGAGTAAGTAATACTTGATTTTCAAGGGAAAAAAAAAACACCTAAAAAAATTAAAATAAAATTGTTGGGTTTATTCTTAACTCCAAAGAGATTTAAAAAAATATGCAATAACCTGTGTTTCTGAATAGGGCTGGATTTCCAAATTCCCAAAACCTACTTTTAATAGGGAAAGAGGAAGAGCAGGGTAGGAAGGAGAAATCTGGACATAAGTTTTAGTTGGTTAGGGAACACAAATAGCTATATCATAATACAAAAGCGTGCCTGAAGAGCTTTAAAAACCATCAAAGCTTGCCTGTTATGTGGGGTGTACTTAGCTGTTACAGTTCTTCACATAAAGTTCATTAGATTTCTTAGCAGGAAATAATTTCTGAAAAGGTTTCACACTTTCCCTGTACTCTTTTCCTCCTACCATACTTTTTTCCATTAACTTTTTAGAGCTAAAAAGTATTGCAATGCTGACTGTAAGCAGTGATGTGGTAAAACTGCTAGACTTCTCAGGAGAATCAGTGCTAGCCCTTGACATTTATCCATAAATGTGCATCTGTTATACTGCAAGACTATTCCGATTCTGCTCCTTAGGAATAACCTTTTAAAAGAACAGGGCAGCACTCCTCACTGGCACTTTTGTATCCAGAATATTTCAAGCAATTATTCTGGCTGCAGTCCTTGACTTGATCAACAGGATCTACAAGCTGTCACACACTAGCTGCCTCAGCAGCTAGGTATATCCCTGCAAGGCTTTCCTGCACCAGAAACTGCACTGCAAAACCCAAGAGCAATTACACAATTTTTTTCACTGTGGTTCTTGAAGCGTCTGCATTGGCTACATGGAAAAATCTTCTGTCTGTACTTCAGCGCATGGCCAACAAGGCTAACAACATGGCTACCATCATTCATGGGTAACTGGCCTTTTAAGAGCCTTGGGTTGAAAAATAATGCAATAGGAACATTTTGGTTAAAAGCTACTCTATTTCAGTTCTGAGTAGCAATACTGATGTACAGATCTCTCCTCTCCCCTTATGCTCCAGTGTGCAGGTTCACATGGTTGTTAGATTAAAAACTCATTGCAGCTGACAAGCTGTAACTCTAAGTTCCAATTAAGTACTGTCTACTAGCACAACACTTCCTGAACCTTTCTTCAAGGGTTAGCTCCCCACCCTTTACTTTTTGCATCTCCTTTGTCCCCATCCCAGAAAAAAAGTGTGTGTTAATTATCTTCACAGCTTTTCTTGGCATATCTCTGTCTCCCTGTCATTTCATGTTAACCAATGAAAACATCTGCCTTCCCTCAGCCTAAAACAACAGCTGAACCATCACTCAGCCACTGCTTTTTCCAAGGTGGAACATTCACGCTTTCTCTCATGCTGACTCTCATGTTTGGGAGTGGTTCCCCATAAATATCTGTCAAGTTAATTCACTGCCCTCTTTCTATTCCAAGCCTTACTTCTCTTGGATGCTTACAAAGCAAGTTAACAATGAGCTCAGAGGCCTGGTGACAATGCAGATAAATGCTTAATAAGAACTAATAGCAGCTGATACAGAGGAGAAGAGGTGTAAAGCAACAGAAGTTGTCTTCCTTTGGGATACTCCATTGATACTTTTTAACTGAGATTCGTATTTAGGCCTAAATATGCTTGCCTGCTTTGTTTCAGGATTCTTCAGTAGAAGAGATTTACCCCAAAATCCCGAAACATTTGTAGGGGACAAAAAGCTCTGAACAAGTCTCAGACCTACTAACTTTAATGACACAGCTCAAACATCATTATTTGCATGTCCAAATATTTTATGTTGAATTCATATTAGCTAAATTATCTTTTGACCTAAATCTTGCCATCTCTTTGTCCAAGTACTCAATTGCTACTACTATAAAACCCTCATATAATTAGTTACTGACTATACAGGGAAGATTTGCATGAAATTACTCAGCAATAGATGTATGAATGTATTTTTTTAATTGTTAGTTTAGTTTCTTACTAGCTTCCCCACCTTTTATTGCAAGGCCTCAGTCATGCACACAGACAGCCTGACAAAAACCTTAGCATAGTACAACATGCCCAGTTAGCTTAAAAAAATGTTGCCTCAGTTTCCTCCTATTCATGCTGGATATCTCATGCTTCTCAGGGACTTACCATCAAGCTCAAATTTCTCTCTTGACTCAGCTTTATTTTTCAAACAGAGAAACTTAGGTCAAACTACTAAATCAAAATCATTTCTCCCAGTGCAGCCCCAGAGGCCTCCCTCCTGTTCTCCTCTGAAGGGAAGGTCAGTACTTCTTCTTAAGGTTTACTACACAAGCCTGCCTCCTTTATGCCTTTCTCAGACGGGGCTTTGCACCTCCACGAGGATCACCTGAGTTCTTTATCGCTCAGCCTGAGCAGGGAAGAGGCCTGGCCATAATTCTTCTGGCCCTGGAGGGGCAGGCAACCTCCAACACAGACAGTATCACTTCCGATGACTGGTGTTACACCTTCTGCCAACACTGAAACACAACACTTAGGGTCAGAATAAGATGATGGATGATTCACATGCCAGGGAAAGAAAATAAAAGTTGCGAGTTCTGGCCAGTTTGAATCTCTTCCCTCAAGACTTGTTATACTGCCAACATAAATATCACAAAAATAAAGTAAGAATCCCCACCAGGTAATGGTTTTGGGTAGCCAGAAGGCCATCCTTCTTACTTAGACTTCCATCTTGCATTCTTCTCCTTTTACACACCACTATGAGCAGCCATATAACAGGCTGCATCTTCATAGGTTGCAACATTTTTATTGTGCCAGAGAGTGACCCTCAGAAGTCAGTGCTCTACACTGACTTCCGTGGAAACAGAGTTAAGTCGACATTAAGAATTTCTGAAGTTATTTTCCCATGACGTTACAGCTCTTCATGAATGATAGCCTTCCTTACATTTCTACAAATGATTTCCTCCTTATTGTATCTCATTTTTTTCTTGTTTTCTGCTCAAGAGCTGCATTTTGTTTCAGAGCAGATTTTGATTACAAATGATGTAAACTCATTCAGTCTTTAACAAAATCACAGAATATAAGCCAAAGAAGCAAAAATGAGATCAGAAATGCACATCAAGGGCAGACCCTTGAGTTTTTCCCTATATAAGGGGCAAGTGATTTCTATTTGACCACACTAAATAAGCATACCACAATCACACAGAAGTTGTTTTCCATTTTAATTTCTCTTTTTTTTTCATT